GCACTTTTCTTATTTTGCTTAATATATTCTGGCAAGTTAGCGTTTCTTGTTATTACATTGACATTCATTCTTTAATGTTAAATCTTGTCCTGGATTCCAATAACTCTACTGGATTGAGCACTGGAAAAAAAAAATTTAATCTAGATGAGCCATTTTTTTCCTTAACCCTGTAATGCCAAATGTATCATATTTGATACATACGGTTTCTGAAATGTTTTGCGTCTTAAACCTTTTGCATAATTTAATGGTAAAAACTTTGCTCAAAATCCTATTGTACACAATCAGATATACCTGATAACAGAGGGCAGAAGACTACACAGAAAATAATCTTGACTTATCGCATAGTAATAAATTATTATTAACAAAAATGTATTTCTGTTTTTTCTTTTTGCATATTTTGTTAAAAGGCCAAATAAGGACTTCAAACAAAAAAAAAAAAAAAAGTTATTATTTTTTTTTTTTTTTATTCTTGGATCGGGCTTTAAAGGGTTAAAATAAGTGTTTTTTTTTTTTTTTGTATGAGGAGGCAAAAGATACAATTGCCAATGGAATAAGACAATTTACATTTAAAATCAGAAAACATAATTGCCTCATCTTATTTTATTTTTTTATATTTTATTTCAAGAGTAAAATCCTCCATTGGGAAACTATCTCATTTACCTGCTCAAATTAAGGGTAAATACACGTAATTTAATAAATTTTTACTTATTTCTAGATCATTTTTCCAGTGAAATTCTGATTTTCAAAGTATTTCCTCTGAGTGCCCTATAAAGGGTTAAATGTTCACAGGATATGAAGAAAAAGAAAAAAGGGTGGGTCCAAATATTTATGCTGTGGAGAATAGAAAATATTTCCATAGCAATATAGATATCTCACAAAGTTAATGGTGTAGTTGAGCCATAAACTCTACAGGCTCATTAAACCTGTAGAGCAATCAGAATCTTTCTCTCTGCTCAACGGAAATAACTTCTGAGCAAAGGCATTCTGTGAATGAGGTGACACAACTTTTTCACCACTAAACTGAAAGAAGAGAATGCATTTCGGAAAAAGTTAGCAATGAGGAGAAAGTGGGTATTGAGGAAGCCTCCTCTAGACGTTTTAGCGATTTAAGATATCTCTAATTACATTCTGACTAGTCGAAATGACGTCAGATTTACCATTAACTTGTATGGAAATGTCAATTTAGATATCTAGAATAAATCACTGACTATCTGAAAAACACATTTCAGATATCTACGACTAAATTACAACTAGTCATAAAGTAATTTCAAGATATCTCTACTGATTTTAGTTTTGACTAGTCATAATTCTAATTAAAGATATCTCAAATGCCTCCATAATTAATGATATCTTAAAAGTATTTTAGGATAGGTGATATGCAGTTTTGACTCGTGAAAGCTCAATTATAGATATCTTAAAAGCAAATAATGACTAGACGAAACAAATTTAAAGATATCTTGAATTGTAATTTCGACTATTCGAAATTCCTTTTAAGATATTTCTAAATGAATTAAAGATGTCTTGAATTATTTAGCTTTTCCATTAAATATATCTTAAATTGACATTCTGTTAGTCAAAATGTGTAATGATCTTTTTAATGGGCGTCCAGGAGGATCATTCCTAAAAGAATTCCTTACCGTCAGTTTAATCCACAGGAGGAAAATTTAAATCAGCGTGTGGCACTTTAAATGACAAATCGACAAAAAAAAAAAAAAAAAAGACAAATCGGGTGTCGTAATTTGAGAAATCTTGAAAGGAATTTTGACTAGGCAAAATGTAGTTTAAGATATCTTGAATTATTATTCTTTCTAATCAAAATGTAATTACAGATATCTTAAATTACCATTTCGGATAGTCAAAATGTGGCCTTGTCTAGTCAAAATGTATTTTAAGATATCTGGAACGTAATTATGGATGGTCAGACGAAACCAAATTTATGTTAAAAAGGCTTGCCATACGCTACTGCCACCTACCGGTTTGTGACGTCACGGTGCGGTATCGGCTGTTGATCAAGTCCCAGTGCTGTATCTGGTGTTTGTCACAACGCGCTATTATCCAAGTCATCTTGAAAACATTCACATTCGAAACGTTGAATAGGATGTGTCTAGTAGTTCCCATTGATTTTGCTTATAAAGCGGAGAGAATGGCGCTAGGCTTACCGTACCGTGACGTCACTGCCGGAAGTTGTCAGGAGTGAGGTGTTACTGTAGTCTGCGAATTGAGACGCAGCCTGTATTTGGGCAAAAATGGACACTCCTGGACTCAGAGATCCCGATGAAAGTTATTGTTTTTATATTTTAACTCATTAACAATAAATTCATTAAATCACTGCAAACATATTAGTTTTAGGCATAGATAAGATCCATTATTTGCTGGCCAGACTTTTCCTTTCAGGCCTATTCAAGTAGTCACTCAACAGACAGATATCTAGTACCTAACACGTAACAATAGGATAGGAATTATTTTTTCAAATTTCTAAGGTGATATTACCACCAAAATATGTTAGCAAGGTTAAAGATAACAGGAGGGTTAAATCAAAATACATTTTCTCAGTCTAATGTAAGAAAAGGCTACTGCTGTAAATTAATCTTAACATCAAATTAGTTGTAATCTAGTTTAATCTTAATGACCTTAAAAGATTGTATTCTCAGTAACTCACAGAGATGGGAAGTAACGAAGTACAAATACTTCGTTACTGTACTCAAGTAGATTTTTCTGATATTTTTACTTTACTTTACTACTTATTTTTATGGCGACTTTTTACTTCTACTCCTTACATTTTTACACAAATATCTGTACTTTCTACTCCTTACATTTTAAAAAATTGGCTCGTTACTTTAGTTTTGAATCATTTCAATGGAGTTACCGTTATTATTCTTCACGTCATCAATACCAAATTCAATCTAATTGGATGGGAATCTACGTTGCATTTGACGCACCACTACAAGATGAATCGACAGATTCGGCGGTATTCATTGGCGGCAAATCATTGCAGCTTGGTGGCGGTGGCGTTAGCATAGTAGCATGGACGACGAGATGATTGAAAATGAACAGAACGGAGATCTAGTCCTATTGGCAGACATCCATTTAAAATGTAGGCAACGGCATGAAAAAAGTGGTTTCTACTTTTACTTTTATACTTTAAGTAAATTTACAAGCCTGTACTTTGTTACTTTTACTTGAGTAAAGAAGTTTAATCAGTACTTCCACTTTTACCAGAGTATTTTTTAACACAAGTATCTGTACTTTTACTCAAGTACGGAAAGTGAGTACTTTTGCCATCTCTGGTAACTCAGTATGGTCGATACTCCAACTGAAGTTATTAAAAATGTTCCTCTGGATGTAAAATAAATGTATTTTTGTTTTTATTTGTTGACTTTTTATTCATTTTAATTTAGAGTTCTGAGGAAACATAAGGAAAATCTCAAAAAGGAAGTTCATATATGTTCCACTTTCCATCAAACCATGCTATTTCAATAAGTTTCATTTCTCTCAGAAATGTAATTTTTCCATTTCCAACTGGAAAGTCCCTGTACATCAGAATATAGGCTATTTGGCTGCTCAGTTGCCTTTTCTGTTATTAGCAGTCAGCAATTTTTACAAACATTATTTCTTTTTATTATCAGATATCTGACCTCGACAAGAATAAAAATGTCTCAGGTTTCAGCTTTGCATTCAGCTTAGACAACAACTGAAATAGGGTAGCCTTTATCCACCTTGATTTAGTTCCCTTTACACCAAAGAGTTCATGTGCTCATAGTGCCATAATTTACAGAAGTGAAATTACTAAATAGTTTCTAAGGAATTATGTGGTAAAACATTTTTTTTTTTCAATAGTTTTCATGTAGCACTGCTGCCTTGCAGCAAGAAGGTTACGGGTCCGATTCCCGACCCAGGCGTCTTTCTGCATGGAGTTTGCATGTTCTCCTTGAGCATGCGTGGGTTCTCTCCGGGTACTCCGGCTTCCTCCCAGAGTCCAAAAACATGATTGTTAGGTTAATTGACTTCTCTAAATTATCCTTAGGTGTGAGTGTGTGCGTGAGTGGTTGTTTGTCTCTGTGTTGCCCTGCGATGGACTGGCGACCTGTCCAGGGTGGACCCCGCCTCTCGCCCAATGACAGCTGGAGATAGGCACCAGCACCCCTCACGACCCCAATTGGGATTAAGCATGTTTGAAAATGGATGGATGGATAGTTTTCATGTATTACAGAAAACAGCAAGTTGGTTTGTCAACCCTTAACATTACATTCTTTGTCGCTTCATTTAATATTAACTCACTATCTTCCCCGACTGTGTATTATCCTCAGTTTTTTTTTTTTCTAAAAAAGTAACAAGTTAAAATCATTTATAAAAAAAGAGAAACCAGATACTAAACTAACCCAACATAGCACAAGGTGGGAAAAAAAACAGAAATACATATATAGATATATATTCAAGGTTATTTTATTGAATTGTTTTTGATGGACAAAAAAAGCCAAACATTTTTGTTAAAATGTGCTCGGAAGTTAGTTTAAAGTTGGTGCATAACATGTTTAACTGATCTGTTACATTAAAAGCTGGAGCTAGCAACTGCTAACAGAGTTTAGCTAAAAAAAAACATGGTCATCAACAAGAAAGAAAGGAGAGAAAAAAAATCAATAATAATAATAATAATAAGTAAACTAGATGAGAAGGATTGTAACTTTAAATGCTGGTGACGGAGGAAAGACTTTCTCCAGATCCAGTGATGCTAAACTTAATGAATGAATTGAACTTTATTGATCTCCACTGGAGAAATCCACTCTCTGCATTTAACCCATCCACCATTATGTGGTGCCAGGGGCAGTGTGGGATTCTCACTCAGGGACCCAGAGTGGCAGTCTGTGGGAGTGGAGCTTAAACTCAGAACCTATGGATTCCAAGCGCAATTGCCTAACCACTAAGCCATCACCCATTGGCCCCCACCCCCGGCTTGCAGTGCCAAGCAGTGCCAGATGCACTCCAGACACACATTTTTTTTAAAATCAAACCTATCGTACAATGTTCTATTTCGAAATTAGAGTAATGAAGGTAACAGCTTCAGAGGATCGGAACTTTGTATTGTAGCAGAAAAATCTGGAAGACTTGATGCTTTAAAAAAAGAAACTCAATGAACATCTTCTACTGTAAATACAATATTTTTACAGTAGATTACACTTCTTCCTGGAAATAGTTAAGTGAAAAGTGATAGGAATGCCGATTTTTTTTTTCAGGAATGATGTCAAAGTTATGGCCGGAGCAATCAGTACTGCACAGAACATCTAAATACTTTGTAGCACCTGGGAATTTGTGTATATAAACTCCTGTAATTGTGAGGATTGGTGAGGTAACCATAGATGGTAGACCAAGCAAGATCAACATTGAAGCACCTCATCGGCTAACTGGTCCAAACCATAACAGGCTTATCAATTAGGTGATACAGAAATGTCAATAAATGCTTTTTGGCAGTACTAATACATCAAATGTAAATCCTAGCTTTTTGTAATACTCTGACCATTTTATCATAAGTTTTATTTTTAAATATAAATCACAGAAATAAAAAACACATGGTAAACAAAGAAATATGTATCATATTCTGATAATCAAAGAGAAATATAAAATCTCCATTAAAAACACAAGAATGGTAGAACAGGGGTTGTGCAAATAATCCCTGATTATTTTCAGAAACTGGCCGTAAACTGCTGCTGGTCTTAAAGGTTACTAAGATAAATGTCAAACATACAGGGAATGTATTTGAAGCACTTTGCTGCCAAACAGATCTTGGAGTCAACAAGGAGTTTTTACATACTTTTACTAATTTGTTAACTAGATTTATATCTCCAATATATGGTATGTTAAAATTTGGCCAAAAATCAGACTGGCAATTTTTTTTCAGCCAAATTGTAATAATCACAAGCATGCAGATGTTTAATTTTTTTTATGACCTTCAAAGCCTGCTTGTTCAGGGACCATGGCAGCAGAACTTCAATGTTGCGTGGACACATATTTCTATTTGCACTAGAGGTTGGCGGATTGACAATATCGCTACCAATGCTGGTATTGGTATCAAGCACAAATACACTTTACAACAGTTCCCTTTAAGTTCACTTTTTGCATTGTGCTAGCTATATAAGCAAAAAGGGATTTCTTCTTATAGCCTGTACAAATTCTTACTCATATATGGTCGTGGGAAATAAGAAGAGGCCTAAATCAGGGGTAGCCAGGCTTCATTTCTAGAAAATGCTCCTACACCTATCAAGAGGTTCTTTAGAAAAAACTGAGCCATTGCACAAAATGAACATGGTGAAAAAGGTGGTCTAATAACTCATGTTTCATGACTCTGTGTACAGAATCCAAAGGAATCTCCTCAGACTTTGAGGCTGTAATATAATGTGTGTGGCTCTGCTTTTATTACATAAAAACAGTAAGAAGAAGGAATATCTGTTAACATCTGAATATTGCACTTGATAAGCTCTGCACAGCAGCCATGTTTAGAACTGCAGCTGCTTAGAGAGAGCTGGCTTCAGGGAACATCCTCATTACAAATGCTTGATCCTTTTGCACATAATTGGATTTTCCATATTTCCAAATATAAAAAAAACATTTTATTCCACACTGGAAAGACTTACTAGATTATATGAAAAAAAACTTCCTAATCTGGATGCTGCTGGTAAGGTAGAACAGCTGCATGTGTCCAAAGGGTCTCAGAGAAACAGTCCGCAAACATATTTCAGCCCTGCAGGGTTTTTCTAGTGCAAAGTTATCCTTGTAAACTTCCCCTGCAAATAAGTAGCTGCTGTGAATTGGTCTGGAAGAATTGTTGACTCCCCTATAAACAAATGTTATTGTAAAATCTGACCTCTTAATCTGCAGTTTCCTGAGAAGTATGCAAACAATAAAAAAATGTAAAAGCTCCCAAACATGTGTTTACAGTTGATTGTGATAACACTTGTTTGTGAATTTCAACAATTTTCCTCTATTACTTAATACAGGGTAGAAAGCTATTTTATTCACACCGTGTACCAATACAGGGACACAGTTCTTCTTAGGACGTGTGAGCTGAAAGCGGAGATGTGGCAACAGTTTGGTTTGTTGGTTTATGCATCTTTCACCAGAGTGACTTTACAGTTCTCTTCTTCCTCTGCTTCAATGAACAACTTGCGAAAAGAGCTCTGAGGGAAGGAAGAGGTACCAAAATAAGAAAGTGTTAGTCCAATTGACCAAATCCTTCTATAAATCGCTAAAAGCAGATATATATAGTTATACAAAAACCCTGAATAAAACTTACACGCAAAAAAAAAAATTAAATCTTAACAGAAAAAAATCTGAGAGTAAAGCTAGATTTAATAACATCCTCCCACCTTAATCTAATGTGATTATGTTTTTATTTTTTTTTACCTGACTATTGTTGGATATATCGCTGAGGTAGTCTCGAGGTGCTGGCACCTTGGGGAAAATTGTTTCTTTTTTCCTGCGCAGAAACAACATAGCTTCAGTAAAAACAAAATGCCTGAACATGCAATGCAGGCATTACAATCTTTTGCAGAGTATTTTATATGAAAGACCAACATTTACATTGAAAACTAAAAAAGGGTGGTGTGCATTTTTATTCTGTAAGCTGCGTGCCATTTAATCTTAGCATGTGTGCTGTTAAGTTGCTGTTTTATAAACTCCTGGATGTAAACAAGCGATCTCTACACACACACACACACACACAAAAATATGTCAAACAGATCTGGATCCTATTTTGTGCTTCTAAGTCAAGGAATTTTCTCTTGAACTTCCTCTAAGCTTTTTAGCTAAAAGGGAACTTCAGAACAACCTGGAGTCATTTTGTTTTTCACAACTTACAATGCCTCCCTGCTGTTCCTCTCCTTATGCATCCTCGAATTGAGAACCAGTTAGCTGTTACAGTGCATTATGCAGAGATGGGGGATGTGGAGTCAAAAAGTCATCTCCATGCCATGTATTTTTTCTCCACAGTGAATTAAATTGTGGACTTATTGGTTCAGAGGCTGGGCAGAACAAAAATATTGCATGGAGGTGACTTGATGAGTCCACATTCCCCATCTTTTGCATCATATATATGATCTTTCATTGTGGTGTGAGTGATATGCAACTGGCAATTAAAGAAATCCTAAAACTATCTTTCCTTAAAAAGGCATTTACACATATGGACACAATTGTTAGTACCCGTCTTTTAAAGAGAGAAAATTGTACCATGTTCACATGAACAGCCTTGATCTGAACTTTCTAACAATGCTTCAACAGGGTGATTTTAAACTCATGATAAGGGCCAGGGACAAAAATGATGATACTCTTATCAAAATAATGTGACCAAAGGTACATGTACTGTTGACAGAGAGTCACTGTCTTGTTATATGACATGGTGTGTACCACACTCAACATGGACAAGAAAAGAGTTGTCTTAGACGATGTTCCTGTGACTATAGCTGCACGTATTATTCAGAAATCTAAGGTCCATGGGACTAAAGCTAACATCTCTTGTTGTGGCCCAGAAAAAACTAAAAATTTTACTTTAAGATTAGTCAGTGTCAGATTGCACCATACATTCATGTTTGAGCCCCAGTGTACTTAAAGAGGACCAAAGAGGAAACCATTGTTGAGAACAAATCATAACAAAGTTGGACTTTGCCAAACTACACGTTGAGAAGACACCAAGCTTCTGAGAGAAGGTCTTATGGACAATGAGATATAAATGGAACCTTTTGCAAGGTACATCAGCTCTATATTGACTGATGGAAAATTTGAGCATATCAAGGAAAGAACACTGTCCCCTCTGCAAAATATAGAGGAGGCTCCGTTATGTTCTAGGGTAGGGATGTCAAAATGGTTCCAGAAAGGGCCGTGTGGCTGCAGGTTTTCTTTCCAACCAAGCAATGGCACACCGGACTCCATTCATCTCATCAAGTGAGTCCAGTCTTAACATGATGACTTGATGACTTGACACCTGTGTTCTAGGGTGTCTGGAATCTCCACAGGGTTCAGGGAAATCTCAAGACTGTCGGGGGATTCTAGACAGAAAAGTGCTTCCCTCTGTAAGAAAGCTTGTCCTAAGTTGCAGGTCATGGGTTTTTCAACAGAATAAACACCCAAAACACAGCTAAAACACTTAAGAAAAATTAAGAGAAAAACATTGGATTGTTCTGAAGTGGCTTTCTATAAAGTCCTGACCTAGTAAATCCTACTGAGGATCTTTGGAAAGACATGAAACATGTCATCTGGAATAGGCGCTCTTCAAACCTGCAACAGCTGGAGTAGTTTGCTAATGAGGAGTGGGCCAAAATACCTGCCTGGCCAGTCAGACTGAATCACACAGAGCATAATTCAGTCTGGCAAACCAAACAGTGTCACTATCAGGGCCTTTCTGGTTTTATGCCAGTGCAACATCATGATGCCGACCTCAACAGAGCAATGTTGTAATAAGGCCATTTCTGATGTCCTAAGTGAGATTGAGGTAACCTTAAAGCCTTAACAACTAACACATTCAGTGTTATATACTTGACATGTTTCGCTGAATACAAAATGTCACTCGTGGTCTTTCCTTCACATCCGCTGTTATCTGATCGGTTCTAATGTGATGATGCCAACCCTGTTAGCCCTGCCTTTACCTGACATACATCCTGTATATGTTTTATCAGTCTGGCTAGCCAGGCTAGTCAGAATGGGAGGCAATTTTTTAATTATCAGCCCTTATCAGGCTTCTATCAACAACTATCAACCTTTGTTTATAGATGTTGGAGATCGGCCTGTTTTCCAGTGTGATCCTGTTTCTCTGACTGTGACTGGCTGGATGTGCTCTCTTCATCCTATGACATGGGAGCTGACTAGGAGCTCGTCTGCCTGGCTGTGTGTTTCCTGGACGGGGCCGCCTTTTACAGCTGCTTTTTGTGTCTCTGCTTCTGTCTCCTTGTACCCCAGCCAGCCTCGGCAGATGGCCGCTCACACAGAGTCTGGTTGTGCTGGAGGTGTCTTCCTGTTAAAGGAAAGGTTTTTCTCTCCACTGTCACTACAAGCATAATTAGTGTGAGGGATTGCCTTCGAGTCAATGCAATGACTGGTTTTCCTTAGATAGAAAACTTTAAATCAATTTGACTGTATGATCTGGTTGAACTGTAAAGTGCCTTGAGGTGACATGCGTTGTGAATTGGCGCTATATAAATAAACTGAATTGAAGTTATTTCGGTGACCATTGTGTTTTTTATTAAACGAGGGGTATAAACAATTCTGTCCACGTGTGCATGCTTCAGTGGTGATTTCTCATTGAATAGTAGAGAGCTTAACCCCCCCCCGTGAATGTCGTAAAATTATTAGTAAATTATGCATTGTCGTAAATGTAGTAATTGGTTGCGCATTAATCAGTTGTGGAGCCAGCTCTCGAACGCTAAGTCCTCTATGCTCTGGAGCAGCAGAACGCTGCCTGCCAGCCCCAATGAGAAAACCCTGTTGAGGTTTGAGCCTTGGTCTGTTGGGAGTAAGATGCGAGAAAGTAGAGACCTGATTGGGTAACGTACCAAAAATATTTCACTTCCATTAGGACTTAACTTTTTAAGGGGTCTGTGGAGAAGGGGCGGGTCATGATGCTGGCTACTCGACGCTGATTGGGAAACTTACAGAAGGATTTTTGACTGACAGCAAGGAGGTTTGCTTCCCGATCATTCAGTCAGAACAGTCATCTTGTGCTGAACTCTTGCCATGGTTTATGGAATTTGTTATTTCAGAACGCTTCACAACAGCTATTTTCCCCAGTTGTAGTAATGTGTTTCATGTGTTTCTGCATTTGTCAATGCAATACGTGACTTTTGGATTTAATTAACTACATTGAGCCTCCTCTGTTTCAGAGAGCAGCAGCCGCCACTGGTATGTTTCAGATGAGATGTTGCCAGTGTGTCTTGAGGTTTTCATATCTGGCCTAGAGAGTCTAGATCCATATCCCTACCCACCTAACCACATCCAGATTGTGTCTCATTGGATTGGGAGGGACACCTGTTAGTCAAACCTGAAAATTCACTGCTAAGTTTGAGGAACTTTGACAATAAAATTATGTAAATATGTTTAGAGCTAGGAGTCAAAAGTTTATAAAATGTATCCCACCTCAAAAATCAGTAATAGCAGAAAAAAAGGGTCTAGAAAGTGTTGACTCAAAGGAGCTAAATGCAGCCATGTTTCGTTTCCCCTATGCGCTATACCTCAAGTTGGTCTGTCACATAAAATCTCAATGAAACATAAGTTATCAGATGAATAATCTAAATGGTAAGAATACTTTTGCAGGACATGGTAGTAAACTTTATAAAAGAGGTGTGTCATACCTTTGAAACCACAAAAAGAACAGGACTGCCAAGATAACTATCAGGACAACAGCAAGACCACACGCCAACAAAGAAGGATCAACATTAGAATCCGCATCTGCAAATAAATCCAGAGAGGGCATTAGTCAGCTGGGAGCCGTAACACATAACCATGAAGTCTGATAATTGATGGGATAATAAAAAATTATTTTTTTTCAATACATTTTAAAACTTAGTATATATAAAACACTAAATTCAACCACATCCTAAAATCAGAATAAGTGGATTTATTTATGTTACACAGTAAAGTTAGCATCTCTGTTTAGCTTGCAGAGATGTTAATTTGCAGAATATACCTTTCAAAATGGTAACAAAGCAAACAAAAACAGAAAGTAAATAAATAACTATAAATATACCAAAACATTTCTGTTCACTTTCCGGCGAGTTATCAATATCTTGAGCTTGAACTGAGAAGCAGTACCGACAGTTACGGTCCCGCTTCACCGTTTCCCATCGTCTTTCTTCTATTATAAACTCCTCCTGAGAAAATAATACAGTCATCAAGTCATTTTGATGAAATGTTCAAGGGAGACAACATTCTTGCAAAGGTTTATGAGATTAATTGGAAATCTAAACATATTTATTTGATCACAGCGGTTTAAACACTAGATGTAAGTTTAATTATTAGTTGTGCGATAGCTGCTGAGATATTTACAGTACACACACAACCTAGATTCAGAACCCAAAATCTGAGAAGTTTAAGTAACCTGGTAGGGGTGTAAAACATAAATATTCTAATATGACAATATTTCTCACAATATTTCATTAGATGGAATTTCAAAATGCCCCTGGATGGATCTTAAATGTAAAAAACAAAATTAGGTAAATATCTATCGTAAGCCGGGGATACACTGAGTTCACAGCTCACGTTGCATGTTGTCACACTGTGCGGGCCGACGCTCTGATGCGATCTACCTGCTCACACTGTACGCCTAAAAACCACATTGGCCTCAGCTCCGCAGTGGGATGGCGCTACTCGGACTCATCTATCTGGAAGCCAAATGAGTGGAATATAAAGCTCGCTAGGGAGGGCAACTTTGTGTGATGAAAGCCCTAAAAAGAAAATTCAAGGACGTATTTGGAAAAAGACATGGCTGAGCAAACGTGGCTACTACGGTCTATGAAATTTACAGACAGAACTCTATTTGACTCGCAACCCCACCATGCTTGTTGGTGTTTGAATCCTTGTTTGCACATGCCCACTGAGCGATTTGCCCACGACGACCGACTGAATTTCAAACATGTTTGATTTACCCCTGTACACTACAAGACGCTAACCTGACTCCGCCAGATGGATTTGCTCCGCATATCCATCTGGAAACCTTCCATAGAAGTAATTTTGGGAAGGGGCGAAAATAATGGTTAGCTGATTGGCCTATGTTGGTGATAGACGGGCCAAATAAACCAATCAGATCAACAAAGCATATGATGTACTAACAGAGCAACGACGAAGAGGAGCCAATTGATAGATCAAACTCTTGCCGAAACCAGTCGGGAGAAGAGCAAAAACATCTTTTCCTCTGAGAAAAGCCTCCAGAGCAGTGTTTTGCTCTTCTTTCAGTGAAGAAATACTCTGTAATTCCGATAAAACTTGCTCGATAGCCACGCTAACGCTATTTTCATCGGCTGAAGCCGTCATGTTCTTTAGACTGAACTGTCGCGCTTCTCGTTACGTCACACCTCTACCCGCCTCAAAGCCAATGCTGATTGGACGTTCGTTTGGTGAACGGCTCCAAATTTTCTTCAAAGCTTCTTGAAAGCTCGCGAGATCAGGATGGTCTCACGAGGCTAACAAGACGCACGATCAGGCAGAAAGTTGGCCTGATCGAAAAATTCTCGCACGACTGGAGAATCGGCCCGAAAAGTGCAAAAAAATCGTACAGCACCAGTTAATTGGTGAACGCATGTACGTGTTGCCCTGTGCAAGGAAAAACGTTATTTGTCAAATATATCGGCCAAATATATCGTCCAGATGATGTCGGATCTATTTCTAATTCTTTCATTTAAAATTATTCAAGCTAAGTCACATTCTAGTTTCATAACATTGATTTTTACTGTCTAGCATCAGTTTTAAAATTAATCACATGTCTGGACTTTCCCAGGTTTATTATAATAAAACGGGAAATTTGAATCATTCAATTGGATTTCTGTCTGTGTGTTTAGGGTTGTTGTCCTGTTAGAGGGTCAGCCTTTGTCCATGCAAGAGTTTTTCAGATTCTAACTGGTTTTCTTTAAAGTATGTTGTTATTAAACCTAAGCATTCAGTCCAGGGGCTCTTTTTCTTCATGTTTGCTAAGCTTAACAGGCTTTCTTGTATGTCATGTACTTCCTGGCTTTTCATTTTAGGCCACTTCTTGGTTTACAGCTAAGCATTGTTTTTCAGATTTGGGATAATTCGAACAGAGCTTTGCCATTTTTCTCTTGATTTGGTATATGGTATAAATTTAACCTGCTTTAAACATCTCTATTATCCTTTTACCTGACCTATTTGTCGTGTTGTTTGGCTTTCATTCTCTTTAATCTCTAGACTACATCAAGAAACATATAAGAACAAAAATTGATGGTGGCATGCAATGGATTTATATGCAGGTACCAGATGTATGTATGCCCAATTTTTCTAATTTTTAGTAGTTTAAAAAAAATAGGAGCTTTCACAAATTTTCACTACTTTTCCTAAGCATGTTACATAAAATCCCTATAAAATGTACTGAAATTTGTGGTTGCAAATGACATGTAACATTTTTTTGTGTCACATTTTTCATGAAAGCAACTTTAAATTTCCAAGGAAAAAGAACTAAACACTAAAAACGTGCAAACAAGCAGCAAAAAGAAAAACCCAACCCTTAAAAAAAAAAATAATAATTACAAATACTGTGTAGATTTCTTACCTTGACATCATTGCAATAGGAATTTAGTTTGAATGTATTTAATCCTAGCTCTCCTGGATCATTCCAGCTAATTTTGAACTCTGACTCAGTTTTTGTGACATTCACTTCAGGGGGAGGTGGTTTCACTGTGCAGACAAAAAGACATGAGATTCTTCAACAAGAGACTGAATGGAAAATACAGTAAGTGTGAACAGTGCTTTATTGTTAGAGATGCAAGAAAAAACAGTATTGCTCACATTTAAAATGATCCTCAAGGAATGTATTCCGAACAAGTGTATTGTTCAGTGTTGCGTTGAACACAATCTCAATTACTGCATTACTGGACGCCTTCAAATCACATCCAGACTTTACACTACCATTGTAGATGTATGATGTGCATTCTTGCATCTCTTCTATTCTGTCTTCATAATGAAACTCCATCCTGAGAAAGAGCAAGAGATAAGAAAAAGTGTATTACTTTTACACCTCAAAAAATGCTTTAAATAAAAGAAAACACAGTATATGAAAAAAAAAAAATCTTAAAATGATCAGTTTTTCCAGATTTTCATGTAGATCGCTATGTATATATATATATATATATATATATATATATATATATATATATATATAAAACTGTATATAAAGAAAGAGGAAGAGGCGTTAAGTCATACTAAAATTTTGTTTATGGAAGCAGTCCTGTCACGTGAATTGTATGATCAAGCAGAGGGCTCTGACATTTATTAGTATATATTAAGACCATCCTCTTGTTATTAATAAAACACCAGATTGGGGGAAACACATGTAAATCAGTTTATTTGTTGACAATGTTATATTGTATCTAAAAAAAAAAAAAAGAGAAGAAGAAACCCATGGCATCATTGTAAAATGTAACTTATTCACATGTTTTTAATAACTTTTAACTTTAGAAATTACACATTAATGTGATTAAAAAATAAATGCCAGTAGGTGAATTCCTAAAGACAAAATAATCTGAAATAACAGCTTAAAACGGTCATTAAATATGACAATCAGCACTAGACACAAATTTAAAAACAATCCACTGGACTTTGTTTTTTGTAACTTTGAAGACGTTTCGCTTCCCATCCAGGAAGCTTCTTCAATTCAAAGTGTTAAAAATAGTGTTGAGTTTAAGTTTTTTTTACAGTGGACCAAACAGAGCCTTTTTTTGCCTTAGAAAAGATGCAAATTAAACCGGATGAACGGGTCCATCCCTTTGGAAAGGGGTTGGACCTAGTTAATCTTCACCAGCATTTCAAGGGCTTCCATTTTGAAAAGTCTATATGCAAATATCTTCAGAAAGACCAGAAAAGTAGTCATTCTCGCTTTTGCACATAATCAGTGAGGCAACTCTATTATTGATCATATCATTTACACAAACACAGACATGCATGTGGAAATAACCAAATAGAGTTATGGGTGATAGTTGCATCACATACCAATTTTTGGAGCCAGTATCTTGCATGCAAGAGGTGTTTTTTTAAAGCCAGTGTGGTTTCACTGTAATGTTATTTCGATAAACCCATTTTAAATGAGTTGAAATACAAATATTTTTCTTTCCTTCCACCCTTTAAGGCTACCTGATGTTTCTCCTTCATAAATCCCCTCAAAAATACATTTAAAAAAAACCTCAGAGTTCAGGCCTTAGAAGAAAAGACACAGCTTTAAAGCTGTATCTACAGATTTCAAGTCTCAACCCATATTTTATAACCAAAAACATTTGGGAAACCACAGACAATAAATCTGGGTAATTTAATTAGTGTTAGAAAGTCTAAGCCAGCCAGAAGCATTGAGTAAACAGCATGATAATGGAAATTTACAACTTCTTTATGGTGGTTCAGAGAATCTCAGAAGCTGACTCAGTGACACCACACAAATCACGTAGACTTCCACATAGCAAGTCTCATTGTCTCAATCCTTTCCTGCTGTGAAACATGATGGTGGCTGTGTTATTCTGAGTAGAAAAAAGAAATTCAAACCGAGTTAAAGTAAGATGGATATTAGGAACTTATTAGGAGAAAACATTAAATGAGTCCTTTATTTTATATCTAAATGAGAAAGATCAACAATCCTTCATTATTTGTTTTCTGATGATGGGTAGATTTATGTAAACGAAGAGTGACACTGGTTTGTTTTTAAAGTAAATCTGCCTATTTCCGTCCTTAGTATTGTTCCAGTAATTGTACTTTTTCCTGGAATTATGAGTCATGACTGTGAGCAGGGGTGGATTTAGGAAATTTGGGGCCCTAGGCAAAAACAGTCATGGGGCCCTCTAATTTGAGGAGAGAAAACATAAAACAGATGCATTATAGAGATATGGAAATTTTAATGGAATAGACATACACTATTTGTTCTAGGTTTTGTCCCTGTCTCTTCTTGTCCCTTTTCTTGGTGTTTTACTCTTTATGTTTTGTACTCAGCTGATTTTTCATACCATCTCAAAAGGAATAAAAGATTTTTGCTGATTACTAAGTTCACCTAGCTGCTGCCTTGCTGTTTCCAAAAAGGCAATGGTAAAGGTAAATAACACATTCCCTCTTTTCACTTTTCATAAGCGTTCTGATGGCATTTTAGCAAAAGGATTTTTATCAAAAACTTAATTTACACAAAAAAGGAATTGTGGTATTAACCACACATGTAAACAGAGTTAACACCAGCCTAGCATTGCCTAATAGTACAGTGAAAAGCTCACTTTAACACATGGACACTATTACCCCACTAGATGAACCAGCAACACAGCAGCCGGTTCAATGTGAGCTGCAGTCATTTACAGCCTCTGCCCTAAGTTGTGCCAGCGACACAGAGGCAGTCACTCTATTTACTCGCTATTACTCAGGCAATATAGTGAAGCACATTTAGGAGCATACTGTATACTGTAGGCTGCCATGAGCCTCTTATCGTACAGTCAACATTGAAAAAAAAAATCTTCATTGGGAGCTGGTGAACATTCTCAATCCTCCAGGTCATAGTCATACCAAAAAAGCAAAAAAAAAACAATACCAGACTTTTTTTCCCAAGTTTGAAGATGTTTCGTACGGAGCCCCTCTGATGACATGGTCAAAAAAAAAATTTTATTGTGGCCACGAAGTAGTATAACATGCGCACAAAATACTACTTCGTGGCCACGCAATAAGTATAACGTGCGCACGAAATACTACTTCGTGGCCACGCAATAAGTTTAACGTGCACACGAAATACTACTTCGTGGCCACGCAATAAGTTTAACGTGCGCACGAAATACTACTTCGTGGCCACGCAATAAGTTTAACGTGCGCACGAAATAATCGAGCGCGCCTTAGACCTTAGAGAAGGCGCGCTCGATTTGCTTACCCAGTTGTCTAGGAATGATATTAATATTATTAATAAGTATATCGTGCGCACGTTAAACTTATTGCGTGGCCACGAAGTAGTATTTCGTGCGCACGTTATACTTATTGCGTGGCCACGAAGTAGTATTTCGTGCGCACGTTATACTACTTCGTGGCCACAATTAAAAATTTTTTTTGACCATGTCATCAGAGGGGCTCCGTAGTTTCGCTTCAGGAGGCTTTTTCAATTGTCAGAAATAGCGTCGAGTTTGAGGCTTTATACAGTAGCTCTACACAGCCTTGTTGACTTTAGTTTTAGTTGACAAACAAGGCCTTCTCAGTCTACAAATTATATATATATATATATATATATATATATATATATACACTTCAGCAACCACACTTGGAGTTCCTCAAGGTTCCCTCTAAGAACCGGTCTAATTTTCTTTTTTTTATTGAATTTAACAGCTCTCATCTAGTAATATAAAAGCTGCTTAAAGCGCTTTATATCAGAGCCACTTTCACCTAATCACACATGAACATGGACACATTACACACAGATAGGGAGGCCGTTAGGCTACTTTTGATAAGTTGTCTTGCCTGGGGATATACTGCCATGTCTAAACTAAAGAACTAAAGTGTGTACTAAAGTACACACATTTGTTACTTAAGTAGAAGTATAGATACTGCAGTTTAGTATCAACTTGACCTCTTTACTCGAGTAAAAGTGAAAAAGTATGTGTTTCAAAAACTAATTAAGGTATAAAACTATACTATAAGTAACTTAAAAAAAAACAGGCAGATGTAAGGTTGTCAAAAGTATCGATACCCAAAAAAGTATCGATACTGAAACGTTGTATCCTGATACAATACTCATTTTCAAAAGTATCGAAACAGCCATCTAAAGTGCAGAATAGTGGAAAATGCACTTTCTGAACACTGTGTGATTGAATAATTCTGTGCTTTTTTCAGTTTCAGACTTTTTTTGTAACAGGTGCAGCTGCTGAGAATTATTTTTGTTTAACTGGTTTGGCCAGTCATTGATATATCTGCAAAACATAGCCAAGAAAGGAACACTTAATTTTAATTTTGTAAGTTTTTTTATCAAGCTTGCTTAATATTGTGCACAGCATACAACCTCAAAATATTATTCTCATTGTTTTTTTTTTGTTTGTTTCTTGTATTTTTTTAGTAATGAAAATATTTCTGTTGAATTTTAGAGTCTTTGTTTTTATTCTTGTAGTATCGAAAAGGGTATCGAGTATTGAATATTTTACTTTATATCGGTATCGAGTTGAAAAGTGAAAAGTTAGTATCGTGACAACCCTAGCCAGATGACACTATATGAAATGAAAGCTCAATTTTTCGACTATTTCAAAAAATTCTTTGGGATAGGGCCAAGGATGAGGGACGTCTTGTTGTTCTCCATTTCCCGATACACTCTCGCCTGTGTCCGACCTTCCAGACATTTCAACATCTTTTTCTGAATCCGACATTGTAGCATGGCATAGACTAGAGGATTCACGTTTGCAGTTTGAAGAACACCTGCTTGCTTCTGATGATTTCCTTTAGCTAACCAAAGAGTGTTTGCGTTATATGACTCCTCCAATTACACTAGTTTTCACTGGATGTGGATGGCACCAATGATCTGCATTGGATGGCGCACATGACGTGAGCTAAATATTTATAAATATTAAACCAATTTACATTTGTTTTAAATGTGTAAGGAATAGAAAGTACAGATACTTGTGTGAAAATAATGAGTAGAAGTTAGAAGTAGGACAAAAAATAAGTAATGGAGTAAAGTATAGATAGCTAAAAAGTGTACTTAAGTTCAGTAACAAAGTATTTGTACTTCGTTACTTGACACCTCTGGTCTAGATGCTTTTAATTGCTTCCAGTAACATACAAACCCATCTGACAGTCAAAATAAAAACCCTCAGTTGTTTCAATTCTTCGTTAGACTGGTGCTCTGGCATTAAGACATGGAGGAAGTTAAACTTCCTCCATCACAACAATAGAGCCAGTTTAATCAAAACAGAGGTCCCTGTATTTGGGACATCAGACTCTTCTGTAACCTGCACCATCATAGAATATTTTTGTTTCTATTGCTTTT